GGTGAACTCGCTCAGTTGACGGTACACTCAGTGTAAGTTGTTACCGTGACGAACAAAATATTTTAAAAAAATTACTGTTTCTGTAGTTCTTGAGACTGACAAGAAATCTAGTTGTGACGAAAACAAATCCAATTCACAGTGAATTTTCCCTTTTATTGTAGACTATTATTTTCAAAGAACTTTCTGTTTTACTTTGATCAATTTAAATGTCCGGTAAACTTGTACTGTTTTCCATTTATATCCGAATACAATTCCTTTATACAGGGAGTGTAGTCCTCATCTTTCTCACCGTTAAATTTCCGTAAAACAACTTAATATGAAACCATAGAAATTCAGTATTTCATCATGACACGCAATAACCTCTCTGTCTAGTTTTCAGTTATGCTCCGTTTCTGTTGTTTTTATAATGCCAGTATTACGAGATAGCAAAAACGTTTTCTGGCAATAAACCCAGCATGTCTGGATAAATCACGAAGCTAAGGATCGAGTTGTCTACCCGACTGACAAGAGGTGTGTAGGAATAACTGGAGACAACCAACAGAGAAGTGTCCGTGATGAACGGCTGAGCCTACACTCGCAAAACCCAAAATGTTCAACTCCACATGTAGTAGAAAGAGAAGTCTATCGGAGTGTACAATTCCACAAAACATGACTTATTATGTACAGGTGAAGTCACGGTTGTTTAGCTCGACCCATAATTGCTAAGGTATGTCATCATTACGGGAGCGACTCCAGCTACGAATTACCACAAGTCGTTTCCGTGAGTAAACTCACGCTATTAACATTACGCATATTCAACTGCAGGGCAAATAAATATCGCTTTAGGGAGCAAACTGGCGATATTAACAATACGTGTATTCAACTGCTGGAGTGCTGGACAAATACTAATCTACATTGGTTTCGATGAAGTAATCACTGACTGTATTATGGAAGCACTACAAAGACGGTGTCAAGTTTAACAAAGGTTTGGTTGAACTACTTCCTTGAGAGGTACTTTTACACGATGGGAACCGACTTTAGTTTCCCGGTGCATACGTTAGGGTTGATCACTAATACACAGGTAATACTGGTCAAATTGGCAATGATGGATTGTTTTGTTTCACATGTCATTTTCATGGATTTTACTCACTTTTGTGCCCTGATAAATTTCCGTCTCACACTTAATCAAACGTGTAGTTAGTCTAGTTAGGTCTGACTGCAAAATACTCCAGCTTGTAATTAGCAGACGGTGCGACACGGTGTATGGCGTTATTATTGTGCGCATGACTAGCAGAGAGCGCAGGCCGGAAAGACATCCTCCTTTTTCAGATACAACTTTGGATTTTGGTCAAGTCTTTTTAAAATATTGTGTTCTAGAACTGAGAAGGAATCGGGATACGTCACTTAATCAAAAGCACCCAAAAACGAGTATCCACAAACTTGCCATTTTGTGTAACTATAGCGTAGTTAAAGAGGTTGACTTGAAAAACAGCTCTCAAAAGTACCTTTTGTACTCATTTTATGACAGAAACAATAGTCGTTTTTATTTCATGACACTTTAGGCTACATATACCCGAAAAATGACGGAAATGTCTTCGAGCATTCCACAACCTCTTTAACAAACGGCGAATGTATTTGTCTTAATTTTTAGCAGATCATCATGAAAACAATCATAAATATGTTAGAATATTTAACAATACTAAATTGTTTGTAAGATCGGTTCTGGACAGATTCGTCAGTTCGTCAAACTCTGACGATTTATCTGAAATATTGTTCGATAATGAATCGAATCAAATTTGAACGAACATTGTATATGCGACAGGAGAGAGGATGAGAAACATTGGATCCTCATCAAATCAATTTTTTTAAACTGATGAACAATTCTAGACGTCAACGTGCATACAAACGAATATATTTGTCATCCTCCGTTTTCAAATTTATCCCACAGGGAATCTGAGGCGTCTTTTCTGAGTGCCCCGCCCACTTTGTTAAAAACTCCAATCCACCGCTGCTAGGAGGAACGCTTTCATTGCCATGCAGTCTCAACACTGATGAGAAGGAAGGCGAGCATGAGGTACATCTTACAAACCTTAAAGTACCTTAGCTACAGTTCCCCTGCATCGTTAGAAGTATCATACAAGCGACACTTCTAATGTAATACTTGAAATACATTGGGAAGTATTTGTGTATAATCCTGAGCCAACCGGCGGTGTTTACAGGTCAATATCCCCTGGACAGTTTTATCTGGTTGTTGCATTGTTTAGATTCGTTTTCACCTGCATTTGCTGTCTTTAGTATCAATGTTGTGACTACAACCTATTTTATTTGAGTCTCCCGGATTTTCCCCAATCTCATTATACAAAAGTCAATAATAGGGTAGTTTGCTATTACTTGATGCAAATCAGGTGTTTACGGTGGGATGAACTTAGTCGTACAAACCAATTAACAATGCATGAAAATCAGACTGGCGCTGGCCTTTTCCAAAGATGTGAGTTGTATTCTATGCTTTACTCACAGTTCTGTAATACTGAGTCAAAACACTGCAGTGTATTTCATTTCTCTTTATCCAGTGTGTAAGTGTGACGTCGTTTCAACTTAACCATGCTTCTGCACATGGTGTGGCATTGGAACACATGGAACCGAAAGTAAGTGCATCTGGAGTTCTTAGCCAATGGGCGCTAGTGATCAGTGGGGCGCGCGCGTGTATATGACGCAGTCACTTACGAACCGGATAGTATCACTCCTGCCAAAATATGGTGAGGAAATGCTTTCACATAACTTTCATGTCTGTAACCATAATACCAAAAATCATGTAGGGCCTACAAATACAACTTACAAGCTTGAATATGCTAAATTGCGCAGTATGATATTATATTCAGATAAACGTAGTCGACTAAGCGTATAGAATTATATCGAATATATCGCATATAAAAGTTGCAATTAAGTCATGTTGTGTTTCTGCATTATCGAGGCAACATATGTGAGCGGCTTTTCTTCCCTTATTATTATTAACCTTTCATTAAGAACTATTTTACAAAGGTGTGTTTATTTTTTGAAACAGCTTTGATAGATGCCTCTCCTTTCACACATGAAAAACACGATGCAATTTATGTAAATGCAGCAATTTACATAAGGTAGAACGCATATTAATTTGGCAAAATAATGCATATATGCACGTGGCATCTGTCTTCACAGACTAGTTTGTAGGAATATATGAATCTCCACTAAATACCAATTCAAAGGGATTCCATTTTTTTTTTTTCATGAGAGTCTAATGGTACAGTTGTGTTGACAATGGAATATCCCTTAATCAATTTCTGTACTAAGGCGAAAACCTGTGCACACGCGATTGCGTTAGAACAGATATTTAGTCAGCTAGCAGGCCTGCATGTACATGTATTGAAAATATAACAAGTAATGTCAATTATGTAATAGAATATAAGCAGATGGAGCATTCAAATTAAAAATGCCGATTTTAGTCGTTTTTGTATTGATTTAAACCAGGATTTAGATTAATGATTAAAATAAAATAATTCAAATCAAACATCCCTGCTCCCCAAAACTATAACAATAAGAAGAAAGTCATCGGATAATTCGATCTGTCCGTGAAATGTATGTGATTCAACATATCTGAACTCAAATTTGTCTTAACATTTTAAACAGAAATTCAATGTTGGCTATAAGTTAGCAATATACCATTACAATGCTAATAATCTGAATAAAAAAGGTGCTTAAATATGTATCTGTATCGAATGAATCATGATCCAAAAGCAAGATTAAATCAAATCAAATGAAAATCGAATACATGTATGAGCATTTATACAGCACTCGGTGCTAACTACAATCATTGTTAGATCTCCAACTCTGCAACTTTTTAAAATAAATCTTTCGAAGGTATTAACCAACTTATTCTGGTATTTTGTTAACCTGTTAAGTCAGTTTGTTTTTCTACATTAACTGGCAACCATTGAGCAGCTTCCGTTACCTTGCTTAAAGAACTTCTTTTCAAAATTGCTATTTTTTTTGCACCTTCGACAGAACACTCTCCTTTCACCATTTTTTAAAACACTTTTAAAGGTAAACAAGATATCACCTCAATGAAATGAGCTACATTTCATATTTATTTCGCAGAAGAATGCATATGCACGTGTCATCTGTCTAAGTATATAGGTCTTTACTGGTGTTCCAAATATACAATTATGTCAATTATGTAATAAACTATTTAACTTAATAATTAAATGCTGAAAACAACTGTGTACAATACGTTAAATAAAATAACATTGCTATTAGTTTTTGCTCCAATTTTTAGTTTTATAGCGATACCGACAGTCGATAATTTATTGATAACTTCACCCATTTTTATATAAATGTTTTGTGCAACTTGCAGGAATCTGTAAGGACATTTCCCAGTCGGCAAGTTATCAATTGAAAATAAACATTGTATGGCTTATTATTATTTTACTGTTTGTACAGGAATGTACTTTACGAAGCTAATGGTTATATAATACAATACTGGAAAATCACTGTGTATTTTAGAATAAACGGTTCAAGTATTATTATAAAATTTGAACATTTTTATCTTTAAAAACAATCTTGCACTCATTTGCGGGAAATCAGAATATTATGAAGTAATACAAATTACGTATCTGTGAACGTTTCATTCAATGATGGTGAACAACAGTAATACCTCAGATTAAAATACCAATGTCCATAAATAACAATGTCAATCGCAGAAGAAAAAAGGCATTTGGCACTGGTTTAAGACATTTAAAAAGCCATGTTTTAGCTATTAGTTTAGCCTGCCACCTTCTATATATTGTAAACGATTTCATTCCAATACACGGAGAGAAAAACCTAGAAAGGTCAAATCTTTTTTCTTAGGAATGAAAGTGAGCAAGGAGTGTGTCCTATAGATCCATCTTGATCAATAATTATTGTAATATATTGGCCACTTGAAACAGACTTTTTTCTTTAAACCATTTTCTTTTCGGATACTTCTTATCTGGGAATTTGCACGTCACTTATCTAATGACAATTTTATTGACATAATCCAAGGGATCATGGGCGGCGGTCGCATGGCTCCCGCTGGTTTCTCCGTCACTATACGGGCCGTCAGCACCAAAGGCGGTCTCCTGCTGCATCGGGACCAGAAAACTGTCGTCTGTGACACCAGGTTCTTTGCGATGTTTGATGGGTCGCTTACCAAACACACCCGCACTAGGAGCTGCTACGTAGTCATTGTCTCCCTCCAACAGTTCTTCCAGCTCGTTGGCAACTTGGACGAAGGTGCAACGTGACTTGGGGTTGTCCTGCCAGCAACGTACCATTATGCCGTAGCTGTATCAGTCAGCAAATGTAACAAGAATCATTAGATGCTGCATGCTTGATCGTATATCAAATTGTGTTTGCACTTTTACTTGAAACCCCTGACAATACACTTTCCATTATTACTGATTACTCAAGCACATTGACCCTACATTTTTGAGAAAAATGTTTGAGAATTGAGTTTCCCTTTTTTCATTTGAAACCCCAAACAAAATACTCTACACTGTTTCTCACAACTAGAGAGTGTTATACCTACTTTCAATTATGTAAAACCTTTGAGAGTAAAAAAGATGCATTAAGATCCCTTCACCTTCAGAAAAATTTGACTAAAATATAATAGAATCGTGCATACCTTTACAGAAGTTAAAACGACATTATATGTGTTATTATTTAAAGGTAATGGTGACCGCTGTTTGAACATACATTTCTGGCGGGCAGTTCTTGGGAGCATCCATGCGTTGACCACTCTTCAAGAAAATATACACATCTTGGAGGGGTATTCCTGGATACGGTCTTGCACCCTTACTGAAAATCTCCCACAGGAGCACACCGTATGACCACTGTAGAAAACCAAAGAAGACAAATATTTTTCAATGTAAGAGACCATTCTTATGATGCCTGTTCAATTGAGCTACCGAACACTTTACATGAGCTAGCTGGAAAGGGAAGCCAAGATTAACGAAGATTGACCGAACTATACATTTGTATTTGAGTCTTTATTGAACTGTTTAATGAGATCTTGTGTCAAATGGAAAAGACAACGTTCATAAGTAAGTTAACTTAGAAATCAGTTCGAGATGGGCGTCTTAAGACGAAATACTCCAGATGATGGTCGGGCGCCTTGAAAACATATCCGATGTAAATGATCAATACATTGACGTTTCATGACCGGACATCGAAGTTCATGTAGTTTCTCTTTGATGGATAGTTCCACACAACGCAAAGAGATGTGCGCCACTTTCTTTCCCTTCAGATCTTTATCTAAACATCACCTAACATTCCAATCAAAGATGGACCTAATTGCATACCACGTCAGTCCTGGCGTTGTACACTCGACGTTCCATGGACTCGGGAGCCAGCCATCTGATAGGCAGCTTAGCCTGGACATCGCCGCTTGTGTAGTAATCCGATTCGTGCATGTCACGGGACAGTCCAAAATCCGCTATCTTCACCAGAAGATCACTATCCACCCTAATGAGGTTGTTAAACGTTGATCTTACTTTGAGGTCACATCATTTAAGAATTGCAATACCATTAATTCGAACTCTGGAGTTAATTCAATGAATGCATGACCCTTGGTATCTCTGGTGCATTAAAATTATTTTTGATGAAACAGCTGACCGATTTCTCGTATCATTCATTTTGCTTTACTCAAACACACATATAAAGACATTTGTAAAAGCCCCAGATGATATAGAAGAGAGCATACACTTACATGCAATTTCTGGCCGCAAGATCTCTGTGGACAAACTTGTGCTGAGCCAAGTAACTCATACCGAGTGCAGCATGTGAGGCAAACCTCATCAGCAAAGATGTCGCCAAGGTCTAAATTAAAAGTAAAAACCTTCAATGAATAAATAAATACCACACTCAGAACAAAACACATGACATACTGTTTACTAAATGGGACAGCATTTTGTTTAATAAATCTCGTGAGTGAACTATTAATTATTAAACGTAACAACATCTACCAAAATCACCATTAAGTGAGTTCCAAACGCATGCCACTCATTACCAATTCTTTTATCAAACCTTCCACCACTTATTATCGACATTGATCACTCTTGACTACATACCTGTTTCTTCTTGACCAGATATGTCTTGAGGTCACCGTTTGCCATGAAGGGTATCACCATCAAGGGTTTTTTGTCAGCGTCAAAGGTCAACCCCAGAAGCCCCAGCACGTTGACATGGTCGAAGGTTTTCATGATCAGGCTTTCCTCCAGGAACTTCACCACATTTTTCGTGTCCGAGGTGTCTATATACATTTGTAGAAGCAAAATTAAGGCATTTATATGTGATAACTGGCACGCCCAGCTAACATGTGGCCAAGCTAGTACACAAAAACAGGAATATGTATTTTTTAACTTATTTTCATCATCACAGAAATGCAATAACCCAGTGACACCGGAGAACAATGTAATTCATTTCAGTTCAAGAACATTTTACAAGTGTCTCCTGACGACAGATAGAGCATACTGTTCGAAACGTCGAAATAAACCAATGGTTCTTCTCATACACACAACTCACAAAAAGATATCGTTCACATGGTGTTACCGCAAACCTCCCATTCATTGATCATGTCCACCTGCAATGCCTCAAGTCTCATCTAACATTTTACAACCCACAATTCGCAATTTTTTAATAAAAAGACTCTTTCGCTTCTTTCATTCAAGACGCACATTGATTAATGTTGTTAGAAGTTCCTCTTTCTCGGAATAAGGTCATCCAACACCCCTTCTGCAAATCTAATCAGCAACAAGTATACTCAAGACTAAAATGCATACCATTTTGAAATGGGCCCTTTTTTAACCGAGGAACAACTTTTCAATGCTCCGTTTCGAATCTACACTGTCATTGCAAACATCTCTTACAAATGGCCGACATTCTCATCACCAACCTTGCACTGTCTTCACTGCCACAATCTGATCTTCCCCTGACGTGTCGTGTAGAACAGCTTTCAGTACACGTCCAAATGCACCTGTAAAATTTGGTCAAGTGTATTATACTCATCTATACTGATTATCTTTTGCTGGTACCGAAGAACTAGCCAGATGGCAGACCAACCGACCTACCGACCTACCGACTTACTGACAGACCGAGCGACTGAGTCTAAATAATCTCGTAAAGGTCGAAACGTGAAAATGCGTTTCAATAACAGTTTGCACACAGCCCCTGAACTTTATGTAGGCCTCTCCTTCTCAGGTAAAATAACAGCTTACACTTGGAACTCATGAAACGTTCATTGTTTCCTCGTACAAAGTCACTACCTCGTCCGAGAGTTTCTCCCAATTCCAGTTGGCTGAAGTCGATATGAATGTCGTCGGGAACGAAGCTGACCTTCTTGCTCAGGACAATGCGCTTTTGTTTTCGCTGAGCAGATTCCGACTGTTTCTGGGATCTATACCTCCTGCGTCTTTTGACATGGGAGTCAATTTCTGAAGAAAAGAGATACAATGTCGCATTAACAGTAAATAACGTAATATAGTGGTAAGTTTACGAGCGCGTTCAGGCTTACAAATCAACAGACAAAACAACCTTTGCATGCTACACAAGATTCACGTGTTGTCTAAAATGACAAGCACCATCTTGACATTTTATTTTTGTTGAGGAGGAATTTGTTTCATTCTGTCCACGAATTTACAATTTACAGTCAATTGAGGAGGTTGCCATTGGAATTCTTTTGCCATGTATTTTACCATCAAAACCGGCTGCCCGTTAGCAGCCATCTTGAGATGATTTTTTTTTTAGAAGTAGATCATAATTTAATATGGAGATGTGCAGCTACGTCCTGTTTAATTTTTTTTCTAAACTATCATAATTATGTTTGAAAATAAAGAATTGATAAGTAGCCAGAATAAATGGATATTAAGTTTTTAAGGGTTTCAGGATATTTACCATTTCGCTATCTTGAGATCGAGTGATTTTAAGAGCACATTCCTAGGTAGTGAGATTATCCCTTTGCCGCAGTTTTGTGCACTTTTTTTGGCATTCAGGAGTTAACTCAAGTCACCTCTTGCCACCAGCACTTACCGAGATGAATCGCCACTATCCTGCCCAACAGTCTTCGGTCGTGGGTGCGCTTCCTTCGCAATTGTCTGCAGTACATGAAGGTAGCAGGGAGAAGTATCGCCATGGAGAGTAGGATGGTCAAACTCGGTACAAGTATGGCGACAAGTGACACCGTGTCTACTTGATAGACCAAGTAGCCCAACTTGCATTTTAAATTATTGTGACGAACCTATGGAATAACGCAAAATGAAATGATAAACTTTTCAACAAATGACATGGACTTAACCAACTAGTTAATGTCAACGTTATAAAAATTACTTTTGAAGAACATTCAACAGTGATGGAAAAGTAAAGAGTAATTATGGTTTGGGGAGAACTGATTGAAATTGGGTGATGTTGTTGCTTTCGGATTGAGTAAACTGATGTTCACACAATCTGAGGAACAATGTATAAACCTTAATAATATTCAATCCTAGATGAGCCGGTTTTCTTGGTCATTTTACAGCCAGGCGGTCTTCTCTTCAGATTTCGGGAATGTAATGACCGCATAATTATAATAAAATTCTGCCATGCTATAAGGCATATTAATATGATTCAATTTTTTTGAATTGGTTATCCCTTCATAATGTCGAAACAATTGAACAAAACCTGAGAAAGAACATTACATGTACAAAGTTGTACTTAAAATGTATTGGAAAAATGCAGAAAAACTTGATTTCTTTGGGATTTTTTAAGGACAATATCAAATTAGCACAATTAAAATTAGCACAATTAAACATTACCTGCCATTTTGTACTCACAACAATGAAAAGGAAACGGATAAGCTTCCCCCCCCCCGGGGCCGCAAAAGAAGGAAAAATCTTGCATGAAAAGAGCACTTGACAGCTACCCCTCCCCACCCTCTGATTCAAATCCGCCCCTAACTTACCCATACAACAGGCAGACCTTTCCCGGTATCTTCTCCCATGTAGTCACCGGCTGCTGGTGCCTCATCGGGCAATTCACATACGAGTGTTGTCCCAGTGAACAGGCTAATGGGACAGCTCTCTACTCCGATCGTCACGATGATTTCTCCCTCTGTGATGGCGCTGTCAATCCGCTCGCCCTGTTAAAGCGTCCACAGGTAGTTCAAGTTCAATTGATTTTAAAGGAAAATAAGAGGTATCTGGATTGGTATATTTTGGACAGATTTAATCATTTCGGTTGTAACAAATGTTTTATTTCTAAAAAAAAAGGTTATAACCTGTATCACACGTAAGACTTTCTTCTTTTTCTTCTCATGTTCATGTACCCCTATACATATATCCGTATGGGGACTGATGTAAAAAAAAAAGAACCTTAACTGTTATTTCACATCACATCTAGATTTGCGCTAGCAATGACTGATCTGAGGTTATGAAGTTTTGTAACTTAGCAAGAGTTACCAAGATAGGCCTATTGTATTTTTGGAAGATCCACTTGATTCACAAGGAAGAGATATCAACTTAAATTTATCTTGAGTCCATATGAGAGGTGACATGCAAAGCACTGTATAAGTGTGCTTCGTGCAGTTTTACCGACAGGCCCCATATCTACAGATAGAAAAGAACACAACAATGAAAAGGATAGGCAAAAAGAATAAGACACGCATACCAACCGTGATTTTTAAGGTTTCTCCTTCCTTGTCCTTCATACCATCTTCAAATTTGTTATACACTGGATCCTCAAAGTACTCCAAGTCGACATCGTTATCCTGAAACCATGTCAACAGTTGAGTGACCCCATCCATGATGAAGCCAAAGGTCAAGTTTTCATTGCTTATGTCGAGGTCTCTTATGTTAGGGGATGGGCACCGCATCTCTGTTGCAGATTCACCTTGACATTCCTGCAAAATAAAGACCCACATCAGTCAGATGACAATTCTGTTCAGTATTAGCTCCGGTTGACAATGGCACCTCTCTTTGTTTCTACTTCTACTCGAAGTTTTAAAAAGTTTTCTTTTAGGATCACTGGATCCTCAAAGTACTCCAGGTGGACATCGTTATCCTCAGACCATGCCAACAGTTGAGTGACCCCATCCATGATGAAGCCAAATGTTTCATTGATCTCTGACAAAGTCTGTTATGTTAGGAGACAAGCACAACATCTCTGTTGCAGATTTAACTTCACATTCCTGCAAAATAAAGACGTCATCAGTTGACAATACTGGTCAGCATTAGCTCTGGTTGACAATATGGCACCTCTCTTTGTTTCTACTTCAAAACAGAAATCTTAAAATTAATGTGGCCTGACGTTGCGAACTTAGCAAGTTCTTCTTCAGAGGCTAAAACAGAAATGACAGAGGTACATACATTAACATGGGGGTGCACACAAACATGCAGGGCTGAAAGAAGAAACACAAAAGGAGGATTAAGTGGGAAAGGTGTAGAAAGATGCAGGGGAGGGTGGATGGGAGAACAAAGAAACAAAGGGAGATGGCAAACCACAAGGGGTCTGGTGTGAACAGGGGAGGGACCAGAAAGGGGAAGGATCAAAGGTCACAGGGAGTGGGAACGGACAAAAGAGTGTGAGAGTGAAGGGATGATGCGGGGGGGGGGGGGCGAACAGTATGGAGGTGGAAAGGGATGAAAGATGGGGGAAGATGGGTAAACACAAACAAGGAAGACCAGATGGATTATCTGTAACAGAAGACAATGGAGGAAAAAAAGGATTAATCATTTCCAAGTTGGATGTTGAGACCATGTGGTTGAATAGTTCGAAGACGATTCATCCACACTTTCTCTCTACTGAGGCGAACTGAGTCCTTGCGATGGCCAAGAGATTCAATGCCCTGCAAAATCATATCAGAAATGGAGTGGTTAGGCAGGTTGAAGTGATGACCAACAGGGGTGTCTAGTTTCTTGGTGTTGACCGTTGACCGGTGGGCATAGAAACGCTTCTTGAGCGTATTCAAAACAGAAATGTGAGTGTTTCATGATGTAATGGCTGTCACACTTTACTTTACAATTATTGCCATTTTCACATTAAAAGTGGTCGTGCGCGGTAACTGAACAAAATAAAAAAAAATAAGGATTTAAAAAGCTTCCTAATTATATATGTTGCAATAGTGGAGCAAGTAGATAGAGATCGGAGGTTAAGGGGAGGTTGAGCAGGGATAGGGCAGATATAAAGTCATTTATACAGAGATCAAAACACATTTCTCACCTCCACTTTACGATTACCGTTTCCATTAGTGACAACGATTTGACGGTTTCTACTTGTGGTTAGAAAAGTCCCAGTAACCGTCAAATTTCGACCACCCCTGACAATTAAAACACCGATAACAAATACTGGAAATACATTCTACACTGAAAGATATTGGCTGGTGTAACATCAATTTAAACAATTTAGAAATGCACGCACGTGTTCACCTTCAGAAATTTTCAGCATATGACAATTTAAAGCTTAGAATCAGCCATAACATTTCACTGTTCATTCAAATAACAGTAGTCTTCAGTAATAAAGATTTGTATTAGTTCGCTTCTGAAAACAGCCATGCATAAACTTGGCTGCAAGCTTGCTACTTGACAGCGTATCGCGTATCTAACAACAGAAACATAACATTTCACTAATACCAGGACCAAAATTCCCTTTTTTTACCCTCATTTTGTTGTTTGTGTTTAAAAATATTTAAAACACAGACATTTTCATTGGACAATACAGGCTGTAATACAAATTAGGTAGAAATAACGTGGTCGATACAAATTGAAGTATATACCAAAAAAGCTATACCAAAAAGCTATACAAAATAGCCCATCATGGTACAATAGATGAAGGCGGAAAAATCATGTAGACTCACGAAACGATGCTTTTCAGAGGAGACACCTTAGTAACGGTAGGATTCTCAGCGTACGTGTACATATCTGATGAGGTTCTCATGGCCCCATCGAAGGAGAGTTTCACAACATCTTTATATCCAACTTGGCCAGCAGTAGTTGTGCATTCTAGCATGGACTCCACTGGTTGGCTGAGTAATTTGGGAAAGAAAAACAATTACTTGAGACAGAGCCATGTTTACTAAAATCCATTGTAAGTTTGTTTTTGAAGAAATGTGAAAGTGAGATTCATCTAAGTGAATAATAGTCCTTGTCACTGTATGGAATTTTTCCAAGATATATGGAGTTTCTTTAGGAAAGTCAATTTTTTAATAACATCCTGAAAAAAAACAATTAAAATGATATTTCTTAATGTTGACCATTACAAAAATAACATGAAATAAAAATCAGCACCAAAGAATATCCATTTTGCGGAATACACAGTGTCATGAATAGGGAATAAGATTTTCTAATAAATTCAAAGAAATGAAAATTGTTAAAATACAAACAATTGTTTGGAGTCACTGATAAAAGCGATGTTGGCGAGATCCCTCTTTTTCCTGAAGTAATAACTATTCAACCAAAAAGTGGTATTGTTTCCAACGAATGTTACAATTCATATCATTCAACAGTTAATCCTGGGGAAAAACTAGACAATACTTTGATATTTGCCGTATGTGCAACAATTTGTGTATGATACTCCTTTACACTGAATAGATGTAGCAATGTCTCAAGGTAAATATTGGTGGAACTTAGAGCAATTCTACAGAACAGGATAAAGTAGATTTGTATATATAATAAAATATCATACACAAGAATGCTGTTTGTTTCTAATCAAAGCTTGAATTAATATTCTGGAAATAAACCAGAGGAGAGAGTTAGACAATGCTCCGATTCTTGCCGTATCCGCAACAATTTGGAAAATGATGTGTAACGAAAGAGACATAATACCCTGTTATGTGGCAAGGATTGTCGCCGATGAACGCTTGAATATCGCGTCCTGTGTTGAGGGCCGCTCCATTCACACTAACTATCGTCCCACCGGCTTCTGGGCCGAGACTGGGTTGGAAATATGTAATCTTTGGGTTCTGTTAACGAAAATCATCATGTGAAAATATTCCAAGAACTGTGTTTGTCTATCACACATTTTTCCACACTTATATTATTGTTACAGTTGGAATAAGTATTTGCTAGTTATTCGTGCATCGAATCCTCGAGTATCATTGTTTATAAAATGTTTTGACATTTCAAAAGTAAACTTGACCTACGTTTAGGAAATTCACTTAAATGCCTGGGATTTTTCCAAATATCCTCAACCAAAACATAAAATATTTGGTGTGGAATTATCAACTAATTCAGCTATAATATATCTAATTATTGCTCCAGCTGACATAATGCGGTGCCGAACTGCTAAGAAAAAAACATTCGTGAACAGACCTCATTCGTGATCATACATTCCGTGCTTACTATTTCCACAACAGTGTAAAAACATTTCCTTGGACGCTTGTTCCTTTTCCAAGCAGGTAGGCTACCTCAGTGGCTGAGTCAGTGTAAACGAGTGCGTGCAGGACGTGACTTACTTTGAAGTTAAAGTGGACCGTTCCTGAGCTGTGTTGCATTGTACCGTCTGCACCCGTGACTGTCAAAGTAACCAACTCGGCTCCTTCACTTTCTGCTCTCGTTATGCAGTTGACACTGAAACATAACGTAATGCGTGTCGTTAAAATAGAAGGTTGAGCAAATCCTCATCCACTCTGGAACTTTACTTTTAAGATTTTACAATTATGTACACTTTTAAGATTTTACAATGTTCCACAACATGGCACAAACTCCGCTGTTGACTACATTGTGAATTAGAAATTGTGAGGGGGAAAGTTAACATTTTGATCAGAAATTGAAATATTTTTGTTAGCAAGACATACTGACATTGCCTACAAATACTGAGAAAAAGACAATATTATAACTGACAGAGGACAATTTATAGATAACATTTTTCGATTAGGACGGTTAAAAAAATGTTAACAAAACGTCGAAAAACTGAATAGGAGAACATTAGTCAAAGCTTGAATAAAAAGTACAAGAACTGGTAATGTCCTTGCATGAAGTATGATTTGACCCTACCTTGCTCCGAGTTGGTAGTCTGAGCTTAATCCAGCCAGATCACATGGTTGATCGCCAACCATCACACTCACAACATCACTAAATCTCCGACCGATATCAGTGCCCATCACAACTATGATTGTGTTGCCTTCAATAGACCCAGTCAAAGGAAATACCTAATGCGTGATTTTAGAAGCAATAATAACATAACACACCAAAGCAAGTAGGCCTATATGTAACATGAAATAATGCATTTCAATACAACACATTATTAAAGATGCATTGGCAAATGCTCTTGAAAGACAAATTGTTCAGCATATAATATATGCTGAACAATGGCGCCCTCTGCCGGCAGCCCGGCACCTCCATTACAGTATATATTATATACTGTAATGGAGGTGCCGGGCTGCCGTCAGAGGGCGCCAGCACGGACCCACGGTGCAACCGTAGCGTTGGAACCTTGCTGCTGGGCCAGGGAGACCCGTTGCCGGACTGCGCCGACTCAGTAGTGTGACCTTTGTATAGCCTGCCTTTTTCTTGTGAGTTGTATTAAGAGAGAGCCTCGTGAAAAGAAAGTGGAAAGAATAAATGGCCGTAGAGCCCCGAAACCCTGAAGAATAGTGTCTGTGGTTTCCTTCGCCTGGCGGGTTACAACCCAGGATCCGGTCGACGTTACATTGGTGGCAGCCGTGGCATGTCTGACGGAGGAAAAAAACAGGTAGAATTTGGAGTGTTTTTCGCCATGAATACACCGGGTCGCGAATATTTTATTTACACAATAGTACAGGGTGACCATTTTTCAGGCGACTTGAATCAAGGTTATAGGATTGTGTAGCGGCGCTCTACAATCCTGTAACAATTTACCTACGCGCGCGCGAAATGTATTAAATGTGCGAAAGTATATAATTTAGGAATTGCGGGATTTTGCCGAGCAGCGCCGTTGCCTAGTGGTTATGCAGGTATTTACTGATCAGGGTTCTCGAGATCGAATCCTGACCCTGCCCTGTCAGATTTTGATCTTTTTTTCAACAAGTCAAAGTTTTATCTTAGAAACGTTATTTTTCATTCGGATACTACTTGTAAAGCAGCAATTTTCTTTTTCTTTTTCTGATCCGAGGCTCTGGAGGATATTTTTTAAAAGGGAAATAAAGTCCGAAATCCGTACCAAGTTGAAAAACAGTAGCCTCCACTCCAGCCTGTTTATGATAACCATGCCCCATAGGAAAGCGCACAAGGTACCCCAGATAGTTGTGTAATAAAAAATATCGCCCGGGTCGAGTTAGTCTGGCGTCCGACTCGCCACGCGGCGGGTACGCACGCTGGATCAGGGCCTCGCAGAGCGTAAACCAGCCTGGTGAGATGGCCAGCAAAGCGTTCGTCACGTTGGATGACTCGGAGTTGGACTTTTTCAGTGTTTCGGGGAGCCAGCTAGGCCCACATGCTAAATCACATGGGGAATCGCGCCGCACCGTGTGCACCACGGCGCAACAGACGCTCCGTTCCATTCGGAACACTGCCGAGTTGTGCCTGTTGATAAAGCAGGGCTGGCCGGGCTTGATCGTCCGGAGACACCCCTCATCAACACACGTGCCAGGGCCCACGATGGGAACAGCACCGTAACACACACACACCATACAACGGACGCATGTTTTCCTCCGGAGCAGCTCCGTTTCACAAACACCAATTCACCGGGTGCACGTTTCCTTCTGGAACTGCCCCGTTTCACACACATTCATAAAACGGACGCATCCCATGGGGAATCGCGTCGTGCTGTGCACCACGCGCGGTGCAACAGACGCTCCGTTCCACTCGGAACACTGCCGAGTTGTGCCTGTTGATAAAGCGGGGCTGGCCGGGCTTGATCGTCCGGAGACACCCCGCATCAACACACGTGCCAGGGCCCACGATGGGAACAGCCCTGTAACACACACACCATACAACGGACGCATGTTTTTATCCGGAACAGCTCCGTTCCACGGACATCAATACACCGGGCATGTTCCCCTCCGAAACGGCTCCGTTCCGCGCATGAAACAAGCGCCGGATGCGTGTTCCCCGGTAGAGTTGCTCCACACGGGAATCAATGGAGCGGAGCCGGTAGAGTTGCTCCAGACGGGATTCAATGGAGCGGAGCCGGCGAAGTTGCTTCGCACGGGAATCAATGGAGCGGAGCCGGTAGAGTTGCTCCGCACGTCATTCAATGGAGCGGAGCCGGCGAGGTTGCTCCGCACGGGAGTCTATGGAGCGAAGCCGATGGAGTTGCTCCGCACGGGAGTCAATGGAGCAGAGCCGGCGAGGTTGCTCCGCATTGGAGTCTATGGGGCGGAGCCGATGGAGTTGCTCCGCACGGGAGTCAAAGGAGTGGAGCCGACAGAGTGGCTCCGCACGGGAGTTAATCGAGCGGAACCGTGAGGTTGCTCCGCACGGGAGTCTATGGAGCGGAGCCGATGGAGTAGCTCCGCACAGGAGTCAATTACGGAGAGGAGACCCCGGGGAGGGCCCAGATGAGAACCCAGAGGTGATCCCAGAGGTAATCCCAACGGAGAACCCAGAGGAAAACCCAGAGGAGACCCCAGAGGTGACCCCGGAGGAGACCACAGAGGAGACCAGGCGACCCAAGCGAATACCCCAGCAGAGGCGCCGCCTTGTTCGGGGACGAACAAGGGTCCTCGGAGGGGGCTGTGTAACGGCGGTGCCGGGCCGCCGACAGAGGGCGCCAGCACGGACCCCCGGTGCAACCGTAGCGTTGGGACCCCCGCTGCTGGGCCAGGGAGACCCGTTGCCGGACTGCACCGACTCAGTAGTGTGACTTTTGTATAGCGTTCCTTTTTGTTGTGAGTATAAAGAGATAGCTTGTGTGAAGAAAGTGGAAAGAATAAATGGCCGTAGAGCCCCGAAACCCTGAAGAATAGTGTCTGTGGTTTCTTCGTCTGGCGTGTGACAACCCAAAATTTTGGTCGACGTTACAATACTAAATAAAACATAATATTTCACTAATATGAAATTATACAATTTGGTACCTTACATACAGTCATCCCTAAATATAAGCCTACTTTATATAAAAGGCCCTACACCTCTGCTTTTGCAGTCATACAAATTGGAGGGGGGGGGTATCTTGCACATGACAACATTTCGGTTTTTTTCATTATGTCACAAAGGCATTTTGTCTCAAATGGATACAAAGTGTGCTTCATTTGGTGGCAGAAGTCTTTGATTCCTTGTGAGAAATATGTATAATTTCAAACAGGCTGACAGTTATCCTTGGCTGGAATATTAATCAAGAATATTCAAGCGAATAATATTCAACTGGAGAGTTGTATAACGTACCTCACTCAGAACTGGATCAGGGCAGTTCAATCTGTTATCCAAAGTCACCCTATTTTCACTGCAAATTTCATTCAGTTTGCACACACCAGACTCGCTCGGCTTGGCACCACACCAAACACATTCGAGCGCTGGGCGGGCTGTAACACAACGGCTGCAGTCTGGCTTCTGGACGTCACACTTGTACAATGTTACTGTTTGATATGAACAGAATACTAGATAATCTCATGTCTTTCAACTCAATATTAAAGAACAACCTCCAACACAACACTGTTGATAACAAACGATGAAAAACCCAAAAGAGTATATTTTAAAAACGCGATATACCCATTTCAAAAAAGGAAAAAGTTTGCACGGATCTGAACTTTAAAGAATATTAAAAAAAACCATCATTTTCGTTTTATTGTATTCTTAAATTCGATTCGGCAGCCAGGAGTGGGTGTGACTCTAAAAGGTAACACAATGACGTTTTATCATGTTTTGGAAATAAATTCTTCATATATAACCATTTTAGACTGACGAAAGTGTTAATCTCCTTAATCAGTCCTTATTCCTTACCATCAAATCCATGTATGTCATCTAGGATGTGCGCAGCACCGCTTGTGTCAGTCCATGAAACAGACAGTTTCACTTCCATCTCTGGTTCATCATTGGAGAAGTAAGTGTACTGTTGAAGGCAAGCAAACAATCACCTGTTAATACATGAAGCTCAAAACATCAACATTGTGTCCGGCCAGTATGCAAAATAGAGGATTACTTTCATTCGTATCATAGAGATTAGCAATTCAAGGATACAAAAAATATAAGTTTAGGTATAACCTACAGCCTTATCTCGGCATGTGATTCTGTCTCCATTGCGGTCTGCATCTACAAACTGAGGTGACCTCTCAACATCTAAGCTGCACTGATAGCTAGAAATCTGCACATGGAAAAAACAAAGGGTGTAACGACCAATGTTTTCTTGCAAAGTTAACTGAGTCTAGAAAGAGTGTTAAAAACTAAGATTTACTTGACATTATTTCCTTTCAAAGGTCTTTGAAAGTAAACAGCTTTCTTTGAAAGTTCAATACATGACAATGCGACGCAATGTTTATATTGCATGCCACCAAAGAGCGATTCAAGAGCAGCTTATCATTCAAATATTAACCTTTATCTAAGCACACGCAATGTTAATGCTTATGATATTATATAGGGTGCATAAACCATTTGAAACTGCACCGACTACACTTGCCTCAAGTTTACATATTCGGTCAATGATAAATTTGCAATTCGCTTTGGATTTAATTCAATGTCATATAGAAGGTCAGATATGACCCATAGCATTTAGCAAATTATATCGGACAGTATTCCAATGGGGGGAATTGTATTTTCTTCTAGGGGATGAATTAAGCAAGGTGATAACTGGACTCAGAGAAATCTGGAAAACTGTTACTATCAGGCACTGACATGGGAATGTTCTGATAGACGGAGGTTATCGTGGACATCAGTTACAACTGACATTGTTTTTGTTTGTTGTGTTATTGTCAGGCATTAATAAACAAACCTCAGCTTCGTCTGGCAGGTTTTTAGTCATGACAGTGATGTTCTTCATAATGTCATTAGGAAGCAGAATTTCAGCAGTCTGGTTCAGCAGTTGAGGGCAAAACTCAGGTCCTTTGACTGCAGAGGCGGTCGGATTCTGTAGGTTGAATGCCAACAAACAACAAACTATGTCATGACCTCCCCAAAAATATACATTTGCTTCGTGCTAAAACTAATGATCAAGAGAAATCTGATAGGAATTATCTTATTTCCAAAGTAAAAGTATAATTTCAAATACTCCCACGTGTGCTTAATGGAAGGAGTACATGACAATTAGTGTCATTTTCAATAACTAATGCGCAAAATAAGTGTTTACTGAATAGTCAACACATAGGATTCTACAATCAAGAGATTTAAGCAAAATAATATTTTTTTTTCTTTTCAAAATTTGTATTGGCTGAGCTCTTATATGTTTGTTCTCACATTATCTCCAGTAATGATGATTTCATTAGCAGGTGTGCATGTGGAGCTTTCATGAGTACATCTGTTTTCAAACACGCACCAATCGCAGGCCCAGCGACTACCAACGCAGGATACACAGCTACGTAAACAACCAAAGAGAATTGCATTATTTAAACATTTTTTTTTAAAAGGCATCAGGCAAACGTAATAGGGGAGAAAGTATGCATTTAAACAACCTAAAGGAAAACAAATTGAATTTCAAATACAACTGATTAATACTCACGAGGTGTGCGTTGAACACTCGTAGAAGTAGAAGTCGGTGTCTATGAATTGAACTGAAGTTTCAGATGACTCGACACCCAAATCTACGCGTACTGCATCATCTAAGCAATACATAAGAACAAAATCACCTTGTTTATGAGTTGAAACAGACAATTCGAAAATGAGCGTGTATTTTTAAATTACTACGAGTTCAAATCGATTTTTGTGGGTACCAAATGTAGACAGTAGGCACGTCAGTGTACCATATTGTACTGCCTACGATCACATTCCTCTGTTGATATAATGCGATTGATTTACAAGCATCATTTCATTCTAGAATGGACAAGAAGGAAGCTATAAGTCGACTTTTTCAATGCTTGTTCTGTATATTTTGCCCTAATTAACATCCTATGGGTGTCTCTTATTGCACTTGCCTCCCTGTGGAATGGCAGGTATCCCATCACTAGGAGGTGACGTACACTCTAGTACTTCACCATTCTTCGTAGCTGGAGATTCGAATGACCAAAAATGACATTCATAACTCTGGCCGGTCCCTAGATCGGGGAACTTTTGCACAGTCAGGGTGATCTAAAAAGTGAAAGAAAAAAAATTATATTTAAATACTAATATGTATTTTATTAATATTGAATGAACTCCAAGAGTTAGCTCCACTGGTCAGGGATACTATAGACAGAGTTAAAATAACATTTGGTGAGCTCAAATGACTCCGACGCACGATAAATATTTTCTTTGAGATTCACAAAATTCAACACATAATAAAGATGGCGTGACATCAAATATACAGGTCATTGTACAAAGCCAAGATTCATTAAGAGTAGGCCTACATATAATAAAATGCATGCAATTGTTACTCCTAAAAATTAAGAAGGCAAAGTGCGAGAAACAATATGTGTAATTATACACAGATTAAAAACAACTTATTTAAAGGATGGAGATCCAAGGGAAGCAAAATTAAAGTGATTAGACCTTATATGTCGTCTGTACGATAGGCGCATTGACGCTAAATGCTTCATATCATAGTTATATACGGTAAATATATCTGGAT